AATGCGAAAGATGCTTTGCGAGGCGGGCGAACGCAGATCCAAAACTCGATTGGTCAATCGAACGCGTTTGGTCAGAGCCGGTGGTGTCCTCGAGGAGGAGGCGCTCCGTGTATTGACGTGCTGACGAGTATGGCTGGGCAACGCAGCGATTGCATCGGAGCCCTCTATGCGCTCCTCTTCGCTCTCGGAGACGTCGCGTTCGGGATCAGATTCCTCATCGCTATCGACATTACCATTCGCCACCTTGAGCTGTTGGCGTCGAAGTCCTTCTCGCTGCTCTACGAGCTCGGCAGGAGGCCTATCAGCTTCGTACACGCTAAAAGGCAGCTCGATGGTAGGAGCGGCAACGAGAAAGAGATCCGTCACGTGCAACTCCGCCTCGTGTATGCTGGCGCCAATGACCTTTACCTTGGGCTTGACGATGTCGCCTCTGACGAATACGATGCTCTCCTGGTGCAGTCTCTCTGCCCACCTGACCATGTGCTGCGTCACTCCTTGCTTTGAGCCAGCTTCCTCTGCAATCACAGCTTGCAGCGTGGTGTGCTGTTGTCTCAGGACGAGGAAACCCAAATGCGGCGAGATTGCGCGTTTGGCGTGCACCCTGGCCCTGAGCACCACCTGCTTCTTGCACAAGGAGCCGCTGTCGACTTGTTCGGAGGTGACATCTTGCAGCTTGAGCATGCTCGCCTCATCGTCTGCCCAACCTGAAGGTGGAATGCCTTGACCGTACTTGCCGCGCTGCTCCGGCGTTTCGATTTGGCTGGCTCTTAGGTCGCTCTCTTGACGTCTGACCAGCACAGCCCTTCTCAGCTGTTCCTGTTCCGCCGCACGAGCAGCCTTGACGACGGATTTGTCCGCGCCGGCGACGCTGCTCCCTTTCGTGTCCTGTCGATCGTAAGCTTCATCCGCAGAAGCAGCTCGACTCCCATGTCCATTCTCCCCTCCCACGCCTCCTCCTGATTTGCGATTTCGCTTGCCGATAGGAGCAAAGCGAGCCAATTTGTCGCGCAGAGAGAGTTGACGAGAGGGTGGCGATGAAGCTGTAAAGCCTTCGCTGGTCTCTGTGCCCGTCGTTCTAGGTATATGCGTGCCGCTCATTGTGGGAGTGGATGTGCCCGATCCCGGAGCACTTTGACTGACAGAGACCATTGTGAGAGGCAAACGAGGTCCGCGCAATGGCAAT